CTGAGAAATTATTTCTGATTTCATTTTTTCCAGATCCTCTTTTGTTGCCAGTTCAGGGAGTCCAGGTGGTTGAGTATCAGCATGTTTCATCTCGTTTCTCATTGGGGTTTCTGTAGGTGATTTGGAGGTCTTGTTTTGAGGCTTGTTTATGTGTCTTCTCATTTCGACATGGGCGGGGGGGTTGCTGCTGGCACCCTTTTGGCTCACCTCCTCTGTGCTGGGAGTGGTGCTATGGCAGGCCAAAAGTCTTCTCCTGTGCACTGGGATTGGCTCACCTCCTCTGCAATGGGAGTGGTGCTATGGTGGCCACGGAGTCTCCTCCTGGGTGCCAGAATTGGCTCACCTCCTCTGCGCTGGGAGCAGTGCTATGGTGGCCCGGAATCCTCCTCTCAGTGTTGTTTTCTTTATTTTTTCAGCATTGTTTTCATTTGCATCTCTCGAATGACCAGTGAGGTTGAACATTTTTTTTCATATGTTTATTTGCTGTTTGTACTGCTTTGTCTGAGAAATGTCTGTTCATTTCAAATGCCCATTGTTGGATTGGGTCTTTAAATTTGGGAGGTCTGATTTTTTTAAGTTCTTTATAGATTCTAGGTAGTAGACCTTTGTCTGATGGACAACTGGTGAAAATTTTTTCCCACATTGTGGGTTGTTTCTTCACACTGTTGGTGGTTTCTCTTGCTTGCAGAATCTTTTTAGTAAGAAGAGATCCTACTTGTTGCTTATTCATGCTAGTTCATGGGCAACTGATGTTTTGTTCATCAAATCTTTTCCTACAGCAATGTCTTCAAGAGTTCTTCCAAAACTCTCTTCTAGCCAGTTTAGGGTTACTGTTTTAATATTTAGATCTTTAATACATTTTGATTTTAGTTTAGTGCATGGTGAGAGATATAGGTCTAGTTTTAGTGTTTGGCAAGTTGAAACCCAATTTTTCCAGCACCATTTATAAAAGAGGCTATCTTTCCTCCAATGAGGGTGTTTGGCTCCTTTGTTGAAGATGAGGTGGCTGAGTGTGTCTGG